GCTCGCTGTTGTCGCCCTGCTGATGACATCAGCGATGCGGTTTAATCGGGCGCGCTTTAGTCGAGTGCGGTTTTGTCGTGCCACGTCGTGCATGAGGCAGTGCTGGAAACTGGAAGAGCTGGTTTTTCTTTTAACGGCGTGAGCATGCATCTTGGCCAGCTGATCATCACGTGGATGCGTCCCAGTAACCAGAAAACTAGTGAGCATGCATGTGCTGGAAACCATAAGTTCATTTTCCGGCAAGCACATGCCCCCTGGGCGGCTCCTCTTCCAGCTTGGGGCACCCAGACAAACGTGCTTGCTCCCTTTTTGGCCGAAAAGGTTTGCCATCACTGCTCTATAGAATATAGAATGTATAGAATATCTATATCTATTGAATATCTATAGGATAGATAGTAACTATATAAATTGTAACGTGTATGTGTTCCATGTATAGATCGGTTCTAAAACCAGGAGTCCAGTGGATCAATAATGTGATGTTAACCATTTTGTTAGTTATACCAGGCAGTAGGAAGAATTGTTGAAGCTTCAGGTGGTGCCAAAGAGATAAATTTAGTTTTAGAAATCATTGATTCCCAACAAATATTATGCTTCTAGTTCTCAGCAAGACTTTTTATAAGTAGGGGAAAAACCCTTTATAGCAGTAGGCAAACTTTTTGACATTCTGAAGGAGATGGTGGTTTAAAAATGTGAAAACAAACAAACAATTTCCCAAGATTTTGGAAGGATATTTGTGGGTCTTGAAAGCATTCCTGAAAATAAAAATAATACTACATTGGCAATTTGCTTGTATTTATTATTCTTTTTTAAAGGCCCTTGCTAACGGGGCCATTAAGCTTCATTTTTCATTTTTTAAACTGAAGTGATCATAAAAAAAAGCCTTGTAGAAAAGGGAAGTCTAGGATACTGTAATGAAAGAGTGTTTCTTATTCTTGTAAAATACATATAAGGAATTGCCAGAAGCTAAGGCTACTGGAAGCTAAAAGAAAGTGGAGGTAGTTAAAACAGAAGCGACACTGATAACTGTTGGACAGAGGGAAGACAAGATAGGATGTGACCTTGCAACCTTGTGACAAACTAAGTGATTTATTAAATAAGCAAGAAGGGGAATTTTGATTATGTACCTCTTTAAAGAAAAAAAGAATTTTGATAGAATCATAGAACCGTGGAATAGGAAGGGAGCACAAGAATTATCTAATCTAAATCTCTATAAAGTTCTAGAAAACAAATTAGATATACCGGCAACCTTTTACTGTCACCTTATACAGAGTTACTGTAAATAACTGTAAATACTCTAAGAAAATAAGAGACAGAATATACTTTAATCTTCCTTCTTTGTCAGATACCACGCTACTAGGGGAAAAATAGCAAGAAAGATATATGGCCATATATATGTGATAAATAAATAAACCTTAGTGCAATAATTCTTAAAATTTTTCATTTGTGGATAAACTTAGTTTCTGGCAACCATATTTTATAGTACATTCATGTATCTGCAAAAATAACACAGAAATTATGCTACTTCTGACCAAATCAACTTATTTTGCAAAACCCCCAAAGATGCTATTGGAGTGCACCAGTGGTGGGATTCAAATTTTTTACTACCAGTTCTGTGGGCATGGCTTGGTGGGCGTGGCATGGGAAAGATACTGTAAAATCTCCATTCCCTCCCCACTTCAGGGGAAGGTTACTGCAAAATCCCCATCCCCCCAATCAGCTGGGACTCGGGAGGCAGAGAATAGATGGGGGTGGGCCAATCAGAGCTGGTATTTACCAGTTGTACAAACTACTCAAAATTTCCGCTACGGTTCTCCAGAACTGGTCAGAACCTGATGAATACCACCACTGGAGGGCACTCAAGCAGCTGAAGGTATCATATTGTTTGATAATGCTGCTTGATGTTCTAGGTAGTTCGTTAATTCATCTTCCTGGGACAAGAAAGCCACTTCCATCTTTTTCTTCTCTTTGTAGAAACAAGTGACTCAAATTATGCAGGAGTATAATGATGCCATTCAAAGAGCTGCAAGACTCTCAAGTGTACGAGAGAGCTTTCTGACTGGAAAAGAAATTCCTATAAACCTGGTGACCCAGGAAGATTTGATGATCTACACACAATGGCTGATATGTCATTTGCATTCACTTAAAACCATCCATGCCTATCTCCAGGTAAAATAATGGCTTATTACCCTGAAAGAGTCCATGAAGCATTATGGGGAAGTTGAGTCCCATTTCACAATTAATACTGGGTTTCCCCGAAAATAAGACAGGGTCTTATTTTCTTTTGACCCCCGAAATAAGTGCTCGGCCTTATTTTGCGGGAAGTCTTATTATTTTTAAGGCTCAGGAGGCGGCGAATGTAGTCACCTCATGGCCGCTGCTGTGTTGCAATATTTTCAGGGGACGGCTTATTTTAGTGCATGTGCTCAAAAAGCCCGATTGGACTTACTATCCGGGAAGATCTTATTTTCAGGGAAACAGGGAATTCATACATTTCTGCTAAAGGACACTTATAGAGGTTGTGTTAAAATTCTAATTACAATATTTATTACAGTAAAATGGCAGCACGGCAAAAATGGCAAAGTCTGGTTTCCTTTCTCCTTCCCAAATCTAAACCTTTGAGCATTAATTGGATTCCTTGAAAAGCAGCTCTTTTTTTCAGATGCTAAGCACCAGGACCAGCCATAAAGAGTTCAATATTTATTCTATAATTAGATAGCAGTAGATAAAGAACTAAAGATTTGTAAATGTTTCTACTGAGGTTGCATTCTTATATGGACATTTTTCAAAGGAGTAGCCTGAAGAACTCAAACCCTTGTAGGCTAAATCATTTACTGGGGTATAAATTTGATTGAGCATGAAAATGTGCACCATAAACTGATTGGACCTCAAGGAAATATGAGATTATCTTTCTCCCTAATAGATAGGAAGTCTAGAGCTCTCCAGACATTGCTGAACTGCAGTTCCTAATACCATACAATAACAATGAATTTAATAACTAAATGACAAAGTGAAGTCAGAGTTCATTCTTATTGCTTTACTTGGGCAAGTATATAAAACATGAAACATCCTTGACTCAGGGTTGACTCAGCCTTCCATCCTTCCGAGGTGGGTAAAATGAGGACCCGGATTGTTGTTGGGGGCGATATGCTGACTCTGTAAACCGCTTAGAGAGGGCTGAAAGCCCTATGAAGCGGTATATAAGTCTAACTGCTATTGACCTTTTTAATATTTCCCCAATTGACTTTCAATATAAAGTAGAGTTTATAATAATAATTTTTTTATTAATAGCAGGATGCAGCCTACATTTTCTGAGATAACAGTCTCATAGAGGTGTTTGTGTCTCCAACCAATATAAAAAAGAAGAGATAACCTTAGTTGAACAGTATATTTCAAAATGTCCTAGGCAGGATTCCCTAAATTATATTTCTTTATAAAGGCTGGGCCTCTCAGTCCATTTCCCATAAAACAACAGTTTCTATCATTCTTTGGGGAGAAGTATAAAAAGTAACTATTAATTAAATGTGTATGCTCTGCTGCTTTAAAGACATATAATGAATATAAAACATGTGCTCAAATCTATAGGTACTCCAACACTTGCCTATCTCTCACAGGACAGAGGTAACCATTGACAGATACCAATTTCAAGGTGATGGAGATAAATCCAAAGCTTCTGGAAAAATGGATTTTTTGTCTCCCAGGATGCAAGTCTCTGTCCACCCTAGCACTTTAGCCATGGAGGGTAAGGAATAATGCTATCTGTATTCTTTGAGAGCCACAGCCTTGAAGGGCTCTGGGGCCTATAAAAATTAGCTGAGAGACTGATCATGGGACTCTTTGTCTCCCCGTTTCTGTACGAAGTAATTGTTTTTGCCCAACAGCCATGCTGTAGGGGTCTACCGGCTAAACGGAGCTAGATGTCTTCCTGAAGTTTTTAGAGAGAACATGTTTTCCAGTCTTTCCATGTTTCTCAAAATTAGAGCAGGAGAATTGGAAAAATACTGATTCATGGTATGATAAGGTAATGTAAAATAAAATGATAATAAGACAAGAGATAAGAAGATAAGATATTCTGTTACCTGCTCTCAAGAGAAAGTATATATTTACCCAAATACATACATAACACACATATACACATGCTATAAACATACATATAAATATATATAGTACTATTTATATTTAGCATTTCTTCAGGATATAATATCCTTTCGGTACTCAAAGCAGTGTTGATAGACCTTTACCTCCTATAACAAACTCTGATGATAAGACTAGGCCAGGGGTCAGCAACCTGCGGTTCAGGAGCCGCATGTGGCTCTTTCATTCCTCTGCTGCAGCTCCCTGTTGCTGGTCAGCGCCACAATTTTGAGAGGAGCTTCCGGTTGAGGGGGGAAAGAATGGCTCCGTCAAGAGGAGACTCTTATGGCAAGGGGTGATATGGCTTTCAGTTAGGACAAGTAGAGGAAAAAGAACACCGTGCTAGGAGGAGATTCTATGGTGGGGGAACCAGACTTCCGGTCGGCTCCAGAATTTAACGGGGGCTTCCAGTTAGGACCTTTGTGGCTCTTTGAGTGTTTATCATTGCCCACCCTTGGACTAGGCTAAGAGAGAGAACGACTAAACCCAAATTATCCAGGGAACTCTATTATTGAAGAGAAATTTGAACCTGGCTCCCCACAGTCCCATTCCAGTAGGTTTACTACTATTTTGTGTTGTGCTTGACTTATCACCAATTGATTAGCTGTCATTTCAAGTTTGAAGTTTTGAGAGACTCCCCAAAAGATACCTATGACCTGGCTGCACAATCCCACAATCATGTGACTACATTTCGGATACATTTACAGCTGTTTATAAACATCCAGTGGTCATGGGGCCAGAGTTTACCATGTTTTTGCTGAAATTCAGTGTTTACTTCCAGTTTGGGTAAAAACACTCCCTAGCAGAAAAAGTCATAAAATCATGTTGCTTATGTAGGTGTCTAATTTTACGACCTTCAAGACTTATGATCGTAATGAGCAATCTCCTGTTTGGTTGTAAATCAAGGTCTGCCAGTATGATTATACCAATATTGCAATTACGTCTTAGATTGGATTAACAAAGATGAACAAATATGTGCATATTCTACCTTTAGACTGAATCCAAGGTCATTTCAGGATTCGGGCCATGTGATTCTGTGGTCTACTCAGTTCATATCTGGCTATAATTTCAAAGGAAAATAGGCTTTTATGGAGCCAGAAAGATAATTTAAATGATTTGTTTCTTTGCTGTTTACTTTCAGTAACAAGTTATCCCAATCCATTTATTTCGAAGATATTCAATGAAGCCTACAATTTCATCTGCTGTACAGTATAGATTTAAATTGGATAGATTAAATGAGAAGATGATTAAGTAAAACATTAAAATCAAAGGCTGAGTGAATGTAGACTAGGAGCACAGATGGCTTTATTCATGCCAAGCCATCAAACAACAAATTAGATTACCTACAGTTCTACAAATTCTGGTGAGCCTGATTGAACTTTAGCAAGTTGTTGCACAGTAATTAAAATACTTCTATCAATAAACTTCTAAGCAAAGGACATCTGTGCAGGGAAACATAATTATATTTGGGGTTTGAAATATACCTTGAAAATGTCTCTTAGTAGAATTTGCATTAGGCTCATGTTTGAGCTACTAAACTATAAAGTAGAACTTAGTGTTCTGACCATAAACAATTTTTCTCACTATAATACTGTCTCTCATTTTGGGGTCCAGATTAAGATAATATTTTTTGCTCACTTATTTTGGTCTTGTCTTGTACAGCTGGCCCTTGACTTACAACAGTTCATTTAATAACTCTTCAAATTACAACGGCACTGAAAAAAAATGGCTTGTGGCTGTTTTTCACACTTATGGATTTTGCAGCATCCCCATGGTTACATGATCAAAATTTGGATGCTTGGCAACTGGCATGTATTAATAACGTTTGCAGTGCCTCGAGGTCATGTGATCACCTTTTGTGAGCCAATGGGGAAGCCAGGTTCAATTAACCACCATATTGCTAACGTAACAGCTGCAGTGATTCACTTAACAACTGCTTCACTTAGCAACAGAAATTGTGGTCTCAATTGTAGTCGTAAGTCAAGGACTACCTGTATTAATTTTCTTTTTTTTTTCCTGATTTTTATTGGTGTATATCTTCTGGGATCACAGATTGTGGAAACAGCAGTTTACAAATCTTTTAAACAAGCAAGCAAGCAATTTGTCTAAGAAATATTTAGCCTGGGAGACTTCTCATTTCTCCCTGATGTATGTGCCCAAAAGTAGAGAATTTTCTCCACCACAAACTACAAGAGGGGCAGCTGCTGGGGTTGAGGTCTTTCAGCCAGTATCACCCCACTTTAGGACTGTCCTCCCCAGGGGTGGGTTTCTCGCCCCGTTCCAACCGGTTCGGTTGGAACGAGGCCGGCGGCGTCCTCGCGCATGCGGCGCACGCATGCGTACTAGTGTCTGTGCAATGCTCCAGCTGCTCCTGGAGGATCGCGCAGGCGCTGTATGCGTCCTGCGCATGCGTGGAAGCGCAGA